TGTGTATTTGTGAGTGTTACTGATTTTGTTATGCATGTACTAAAAAAATGTAAATCAGCTCAAATGTGATGAGATTTATTGCTTAGAGTCACATGACCTGCTTACTTCTGATTGGTTGCTGTCGATGTCGATGATACTAGCTTCGGGCTTCCAGCCTCAGTGAATGACTACAAGATGTCGTTAGAGGATAAGTGTTGGACTGTGTTTGAGTATAGCGATCATAAAGAAGCTGTTCGCTTGCTACCATTAGTGGCAGAACCGAATAAAATTGAAAGAGGAAGGGACCGTCTACTTCATTTGTCCTCAAGGAATGGCTGGTTAGATGTTACAAAAGATCTCATTACTAAATATCACTGTGACCCACACGAAAGAGATGGTATGGGTTGGACTTGTCTTCATTATGCTGCAGCAGATAATCATGTTGATGTGATGAGATATCTCATTGATGAGTGTCACTGTGATCCAATGACTGTTAACAGGTGGGGGCGGACACCTCTTCACGATGCTGCTTGTCGGGGTCGATCTGTAGCTGTTGAATATTTACTATCAACTGGTAAATTTGATCCATTGGCTAAAGATAATGATGGGGACACACCATTTAAACTAGCTAAGGAGTATGGTAACATTGATACTCTTTTTGTCTTCAAGAAGTTTCATGACATTAAAATATCTCATCCAGTTGATTCCTATGTTAACGTCCTCCTTGTGGGTAATCCTGGAGCTGGTAAAAGTACTCTTAGTCATGTCATCAATGACACAGCTACTGGCTCTTTTGTTCTTGGTTCCTTTAGAAATGTTGGAAGGGTAGTGCCCTGTACTGCTGGCATCATTCCTTATAAACTACAACACAGGACACTGGGTAACATCATTCTTCATGATTTTGCTGGTCATTCAGAATACTACTCCAGTCACAGTGCTGTCATTGAGAATCTGTTACAAGGTTCTGGTGGTGTGTTCCTGATAGTAGTCAATATATTAGAGAAGGAAGCAGTCAAACAGCTTCATCAGTGGCTAACAGTTGTGAGAAATGAAGCACAGAAATCTCTTAATCATTGCCATGTTATTGTAATAGTCAGCCATGTGGATGAGATAAGTAATCCTGTTGAAAGGAGAAGGAGAAAGGAAGAAATACAGGAGATTATTATGAAGGAAAAATGTGATAGTGTCTTCTTAGATTGTCGTAAGCTTGGTGGGAGTGGTTTGGATTCCTTCTTCAATAAGTTGTGTAGTGCCTGTGAGTCCATTCGTAGTACAAGTGGAAGGAATTTTAGTCTTTATTGTTACATGATGTATGGTGTACTGGAGGAAAGGAAAGAGAATATACTGACCCTCTCTGATGTAATGTCTGCTGGTAAGGACAATGATGATTACTTTATACCAGATAAGAGAGAAGACGTCTTGGATGTTCTTCATTTGTTGCACTCAACTGGTTTGATCAGTGTTC